CTTTTGTGACTGTGTAATTAATCCATTACTATTGACCATTGCTGTAGTAATATCAAAGAAGTGAAGAAGTCCGACATCTGTAGCGGTACTAAAACTGTACCGTGACTTCTGAAGAAGGCACCTGCACCAGGCAGGCAGCAGCAGCGGAGGAGCGCGCATTAATGTACGGTAGAGCCAGTGCTCTCTCAGCTTCCCCCGCCTGGCTCTGACTCCGGTGTGCGGAGCCTGTTGTTCCTGACGATAAAGTACACATCAAATTAATATTACAAGCAACATGCCGTGTGTTGAAATAAAGACATGGGAGGTGCCATGCCATTCCCCAAGTGACAGTGGATCAAGTAACTGTAATACATGTAGTGTTTCTTGCAACAAAGAAGAGACGGGGACTTAGATTTTGTAAATGCCATTATGAGTCTTTCTTGAGGGTGCCGGAGGCTTTTCAGCTCACAGATTGTCTTGCTTTGCAAGGCCTGTCTGAATCGCATGGTAGATGAAACATTCCTGGAATGGATTGTTGGCCCTGCAGCAGTTAGTGGTTAGGAGGGCCAATTACAGTATCTGGGGACATGATTAATAAACTTGGGTATGAATCTCTCCCTGTTGGCCCAAGCAGTCGTTGGCACCATGTTTTCAAAAGAGATCGCTGTCTGCATTCCCTGACTGCACAGGGCAGCTGCCGGACCGACAAGTGCCGGCCAGCGCTGAGGTCTGCAAGCACACGTGCAATTCCCAGCACTTTGTGCGGAGCAGTAAGTCCCGTGCCCTGGGAGCAGCGGACATTTTGCAATGCTCTCCTCTTTGTGGAAGGCCGTTCGGTCAAAAACCTTCACGTTCAACAAAAAGCCCTTCTCAAACAGCTGACTTTTCATCTTACTGACCACAGGATAAAGAGCCTGATTGCATAGCAGTAATGTAGGCCCTGAGGCCTTGTTCTTCCTTCGTTAATAGTCTATTCTGCCCTACTTTTGGAAATTACCATGGAAACGGGAGGAAGTTACCCGTGGTTTAGGCTTTTCCCCTTACAGTATGATACAGAAAAATCCTTCTATCTCCCTGGGGGAAGGCAGTGCCTGTGTCTGCTCTGTAAAAAGGCGGTATGCTGGCACAGGCGTAGGCCAGCCCGCGGTTCGGCGGCCGGTAACCGTCACATTGAAGTAGCACAGGTTTCAGCTTGGCTGATACAAGCTTGCCCATGGCACGCACTTGGGCATCTAGCCCACAATAAAACCTGTTCTGTTGTCACTGGGCGCCTGTTAGCTACAATTAAAAGTTGTCCCAAGTACAGTCATGCTGATTACTGAAGTGGCACAGACATTGCGTTACCAGAAAATTCTCCTTCCAGTGTAAGACGAAACGACTAGAGGTTAGACTCGGACTTACTGAGTGTGCTCAGCGCCGTTCTGCTGCATGTGCAGTAAAGAGGTTGCACATTGTGTGTGTGCACAGATGAAGCGGTTCTGGGACGAGTGGACGAGTGTCCTTAAAATGCAGCCTTTTTATCTGTATTAACCTAAATTTAGGTAATACAGGTGCAGTTTCGCTGGTTGTTTTTGCCAGATAGAACAAGCCAGCGGCAGTAGATGTAAGAAAACCTCTGCTCTTTTCAGTGTCATTTATGTGGCTGGGCATTTTTTGAGTCAGTCTGTAAGAGAAATGAAAAGCTGTCAGGAAATTCTTGCCTGGTTTTGTGCAGTTCAGTGTGAGAGGAAGAATATTTCATGGAGGGTGAAAGATGTGAAGCTCCCTTTGTGAACAACACTTGCGTTTTCTGCAGTGTGCTTTGTTTTTATGTGCAACCGCATTTTGTAATTAGCTGGAGGTTCAGAATTCTCTATTAGTGCTTTGTGTTTTGCTGTTTTGAAAAGCTACCAGCGGAATCATAGACTTAAGGGAGGAGAGGTGTGTTTGTGCTTCTGTAATGAGCTCAAAGAAAGAAGCACAACATGAAGAATGAGAAAAGCCTCATGTTTCCTGTGATCATTTAATTAAATGTGTTTGATAAAGAGATTTATCTCTGTCTATGTTTAATAATAATTCTATGGAATTGTACAGATTTTTCAGTGTTGCTTGGAAACCTTTCCTCACTTTCTTGGTGCACATTTTTTGTCTTAAATATAGCACTTGTACAATGGCTGTGGAAAGCAGTGGAGACTTTCAGAGTAATAGAATTCACTAGCCTCAGAAATAAGCTGTCTTTGGCAGTATAGTGAGAACGATTAGGTAAAAATAATTACTCTGATACATTAGGCTGTCAATATGTCATTACCTGTTCTGGAAACATAAGGCACTAGAATATAATCACTGCTACACATCTGGCATTTTTAATAAAAAGAGTTTCAAAACTCTTGCTGTGAATCCACCTACTAATTTTCAACAAATACACCCTTAAATAATGGCCTTTCTTCTCTTTCTGCATGACTTTTCCGTCATAGATTTTCTTTGGCACTGCTCTTTGATAGAACAGTTGATTGTTAGCCTTTGTCATCTCTGGTTAATCATTATTACCAACTTTTCAGCTTTAATATTTTTCTGGGCAGCATATTTTAGTTCAAGTTTTCTCTTTCATGAGCAGGGAGCTTGGCAAGCTCTCCCCTACCCCTAAACATACACATACACAGTCCCCAACAAGTTGAGACACTGATTTGTACTCTATGGTCCATTGAGAAGCTGCTGGATAGAGAAAAGATTTTCCACCACCTCCTACAGGCAAGGAATTTTCAGGCTTATGTTTGATACAGTGCAGTTTTATTGAGCAGTACAATTGAATTGCAGTCTGATAATTGGAAAAAAAATGGCATGACAGCTGGCAGGAAATTATTAAGAAGATTGTCCAAAACTGAAAAGCAAAATCTTGTACAGAAAGATGTGTGTATGCACATGGTCATTCTTTGATTCATAGAGTCACAGGATGGTTGAGGTTGGAACAGACCTCTAGAGATTTAGGCCAACTCCCCTGCTCAAAGCAAGGTCAACTACAGCAGGTTGCTCAGGGCTGCATCCAGTCAGGTTTTGCATATCTCCAAGGTTGGAGACTCCACAACCTTTCTGAGAAACCTGTTCCAGTGTTAGATCACTCTTACAGTAAAAAAGGGTGGTATTGGGGCAGTATTTCCAGTGCACGCGCACATGTGCAAAGTAGCAAAGAGAAATCATGTCCACCAAATTAGGACTTAGTCACAATATTCTGAAAGAAGCAAATACTTGGGTCTTCAACAGGATGTTCTCAGTTATTTTATTTTTAGTAATAGCATTTGATTTTTAGAAATGACAGCAACCAGAATGATAACCAACACATACTTTCCATGTTGGCAAACTAGGGGAAAGGCTTTTTTTTCTTTCTTTCTTCTTTCCTGTTCTGATCTTCTCTTTATTAGGGTGAAACGATGTCCAGTGAGATTTGAAAATGCACTGCCCAAGTATCAAAAACATGAACTTCATTGCTGGATTGGACTTCAAAAAAAAAAAAAATCCTCACTAAGTATATCCTGCCTTATATCTCTTCATGAAGAGACCAGACCAGTCCTGGTCAAATTCAAATCAATTGAAAACATAGTAAAACATCATGTTCTAGCCTTAAAAACATGTTAATCTTTTCTGTACTTGGGAGAATGAATGACTGACTCAGTGGAGAAGTTTTCTACTAGGATTTAAATGAAATATTTCCTTTGCTTATTTCATTTAAAAAAACCCCACAAACAAGGTTGAGTAAACTAGGTAAAAAACAGATACAGCTTTATTGTTTTAAGATCTTAGGATATTTGTTTGGAACATCCCTGTGGAGTCAAACCACATTTGTCTAGACCTCTGTACCACTAGATGTCATGGTTGTTTCGCAGAGATAATGCTAGAAGAATTCATCTTTCAGGAAGAGTTCTGAAACAAGTTTCCTTTGGCTCTCATTGCTTGTTTGTCATCCTAAAGACAGTATACATGAGACAGGTCACTAGGCAGATGCATATTATTAGGCAGGGGGGGTCATTTTAAAGATTATTGGGTCAACGTCTTGGTTCAGTGGTTTTCTTCTAACATGTTAAGTACTTTATGGTTGCAAGTGATATTCTTCTGCTTTGTTATATAGCAAATTGTGTCATCTCATAGCAGCTCACATCGTTTCAGTGCCTGATTTTGCTCTCTTTTTCACCAGTTTACACTGAGAGCAATTTCACTTACGGTAAGCTGTTAGAAACAGATACATGGGAGATTAAATGTGAGTCTGTAGGTTTTAAACGGCTTTGTTATTGGTACTCCAGCTTTCAGAGAACTTGGCCTCACCAAACAGTAAACTAGAATTGTAATTGGAGTGTTACACGGCACTAGTACGCATGTGAAAGCCCTCAGCTGGAGTTTGCTGGCCCATGAGGCGTGGACAGGGTGTCATCATCAGCTGTAAAGTGCAGGCCTATCAGTGTTTTATGATGAGGTGACACACAAGGTATCCGAAATTATAACACAGGTACTTGTATTTCATAGGGGTTCTCTCTGTGGCCAGCAAGGCTATAGAGGTGCGGCCATTCTGCAGGTGGCTGTGCTTGTTCAAGATGTGACTTTCCCCTGGCCATCCGCCGCTGCCCCTCACTAGAGGTTGCCGGTGCGACAGCTCTGCCAGTGAAGCCATTTATATGAGCATTTCATGATTTGCATCATGTAAAAAGAGTCAGGCTAGTTTAAATTGGCAAACAGGATCTCTGGTTTAGTGTGAAGCTGTTAGGAAGTCCTCAAACACATCTGCCTGCTGGCTGAACTACGGGTCTGGCTTCCAGCTGTGGTGGTAGCCACGGTAGATCCTGCAGTGTTTTAAGCCGCACAGGTGGGTATGAAAGATGCTGTCTGTCTACGTTATGATTTTCTTCATACCAGTGTAAACAGTCATCAGTGACATTGCTTAGAATTACTTTCCTAAGTAAGAAGGTGTGTATATATTACACGTTCACTTGCTACAAGACTGCAGTCCTTCTAAGCTGTTGGAACAACCCTTCCCTTATATGTATTTGCCTTTTCAGGAAGCTGCTCTGTGCAGACAACTTCCCATGGACTCAGAAAGCATGGCCCCAGTTCAGACAGCTGTGAATACACCTGCCATGACACAAGACATGAGGCCTATTACAAATAATGGATCCGATCCTTTCTTGAACAGGCAAGTTCATGTCGTCTTCATTAGTAGTTGGTTCTGTTGCCTTCTCTGCACTTTTAAAGCTGTCTCTGTAAAGTAGTTTTCCACCTCATTTTCTTTTGTACTTACTGTGATCAGGGGGTACGGCCGAGTGGCTGACCTGAAATTTTTCAGTTTATACTTCAAGAAGGAATCTTAGAAAAATCATACCAATATAACAGGTGGTTTTAAGTGTACTGTAGGTGTATGTAGAAGACTCTAGGTAGAATAGCTACATTACCTAAGTATAAATAAAATAAATTTTTTTAGGCTATCAGAACTGTTGTTGTCTAGAGAGTTACATATACATGTGTGTATTTAACTGAAGACTGGCCTCACCAGTTGCTTTGTATTTGGGCTGACAGAACATGACCACGTTAGTGGCCAACAATTGGGAATGAGGTTTGATGACTCAGTATTTAAGATCTAACCTACTGTGCTGTCTTCTTTCAAACACCATGAGCAGGGACTCTGTCTAACAGAACACATTTACTGAGGCTTTTTCGTGTTTCCATCTATAGTGGGTCGTACCATTCCAGGGAGCAAAGTACAGACAGTGGCTTGGGATTAGGATGCTACAGTATACCAACGACACCTGAAGATTTCCTCAGCAACGTAGATGAGATGGATACAGGTAGAATACTTTGATTTAGCTTAAAGTATAATGATATTAATAACTTCCTATTATAACCAGTAATGTTTTATAATTGTGTAACTGATCAATAATCTCTGGCTTTCCTATGCAAGACAAGAGACTGAAACTGGGGGGGAAAATGCCTAAAAGGTACTTAGTGCCTAGGAGGTTCTCAGCTTTAACTTGGGTCCAGATTCTATCCTTTTACCTTAGACCGATATTAAAATAAGTAAAAGTCAGAAAATGTGAGCCTTAGTTTTCTGTAAAAATCTGGTCTTGGGTTACATTCTTGATACAAATCACTGCATTTTCTAACTCTGAGAAATCAGTCTCATTAATAAGTCTCTGACAATGGCAAAGTTGGATTTGCCTTCAAACAGAGTGTATTTTGTTAGTTTAGGTTTTGGTATGTATTTATTTTTATATCAGTGTCCTCATGGTGTTTAAAATACTGAAATAAATTACTAGGAAATCAACAAGTTTTTTTCCAGATAGCAAAATTGTCAGCACTTCCTCACCTAAACTTCCTTTTGAAGTCATCAAAAGTTCTAGATGATGCAAAGAGTGAAAGGTTTCTCTATTAAAGATTTTCATGCTTCTTATTATTAATTTATGAAAAAAGTAATATAATATTGCAGAGCTAAATTGCTGTAAACCACTTTTTTCAATTACGCCCCATGGACAGCATTCAGCCCTGTGCAGAGAGCAGGATAGAGGGTTTACGTAAGACTCAGTCACGTTGCTCCCGGTGCAGACTCGTGAACTTTGAGCAGTCAGGCTTCCCAAGTGGACGGTCGGAGGCTGATTACTTTCAACGCTGCTGGTAAAGGGCCTTTTGTGCTTTTGAGAGCAACGCAAGGATATCAAATGAACTCTTACAAGAACGTGCATTCTGCAAGCAAATACGGTTTTGAGGTAACATTTGTACAGGATAGGAATGCTCACAAGTGCTTACGGGAAAGGGGGAGTCTAATTTTTATATCATTTGTGGTGTTTTAAATGACCCAAAACAAGAGTTTGGTGTTTTATAAGTTCTTCTTTACTTTTCCTAGGAGAAACTATAGCACAGACAACAATGAACATAAATCCACAACAAACACGTTTCCCTGATTTCCTCGACTGTCTTCCAGGAACAAATGTTGATCTCGGGACTCTAGAGTCAGAAGACTTGATCCCTATTCTCAACGATGTGGAGTCAGTACTCAACAAAAATGAGCCTTTCCTTACCTGGCTGTAATCATTCAATGCTGATTCGGCCTACAATGCAATTCAACATTTCTTTTTCCTCTTGAGACAGTATATCTGAAAATCCTCAAGAGCTACAACTTACTGCCTTAATGACTTTTGTTACATCATCTTTATGGTCAGTTTAATCTCTGCCTGGATTTGATTGACACTAATATAAAATACATATATAGATATACATATAAATACATATATGCATATATATTTCTTCCTCTCTAAAAAAAAGCGCACTACTTTACACATCTGTATACTTCTTTACCTTTTCAGACCAGGCAGAAATGTTTCACTTTAAGGACAGAAAGTGAGTGGTGTTTGTGCATGTTCCTGACTGATCTAGGTATTGATTAACATCACAAACCGTTCACAACTCACAAAAGCTAGCTCCTAGGTCACTTGGTTCAAACAATGTGCACAGCATCAGACCATGAGAGCAGTTTTATTACTGTGTTTATGACAATAGCATCAGAAGCTTTTTTTATCAACTTACTTAAGCTTTAAAAATCTTTCTTTCGTTCTTAGTTAAACTGTGCTGTATGGAATATAGCTTACATCTGATCCATATCAGCCGTAATAATTCTTATTATATATTTGTAAAGGCACAAACAGTTCTCTTGCAGTTTCTTTTTTCAGTACATTACTGTATAGTTTTCAGAAAATAAATACTTGCAATCTGAAAGTACCAGAATTGTTTAGGAACATTTTTACACTACAGTACTGTCGCAAAATAAACCAGACTGGTACTGACTGGTGCCTTTTAAAAATAAGCATTTTTTAAAAAGATCTTAGATTTTGATTTTTGATTTTTTATTATATTAAGCACTACAATTTTGTAGCTTAACACATGAACAAACAATTTTTTATATATATAAAATCTGTGGCAAATATCTTAAATGCAAAAACATGCTTTTAAAATTAGTTCTGAAAAATGTGGCACAACTTCTTAATGTCATATGTAGTGGGGGAAAAAAAACCTTGCTCATACTGTTTTCAGTAATGTTTTTAACTGACAATGTCAAAATACATGTAGTTGTATACATGAAAAAAGATGGTAACTTTATCAGGGCAATGCTAAAGCAGTATTGTAACTTGTCTGGTAAAGTTGCGTAGTTCTTGTCTTTCACTTACTGTAATCAGTGTACAGGACACAGGGTGTGTTCTGTGTATTTCTACCTATTGTATATCCTACAAATACTTTTATCAGAGGTTTGGGACTGAGAAGGCATCAAGGACACGAAGCTTACAGTTCCCCTGAAATGCAGATGAAGTCCTAAAATTCTTAAATGTTTTGAAATTATATTATTTATAATTATGAATTTAAGGTTTTTATATTGAAAAATATGTCTTTTTATGAAAGGCATTAAAACTTTTCTCTAAGCTTAATCCAGGCTATGTAAAGAGAGGAAGAGATGTAGCACTCAGTGTAGATGTGTGTTTGCCAGGTCTAATAACGCTTAACAAGATCGTACTGATGCACCGGAATATTGATCACTAAAGACTTTTTTCCATCTGGTTGGGTGAAGGTAGGTGAAGAGGTCAGAGATGAAGTGATGGGAATATGGAGTAGGTTTGGAAGACAAATGATTACGTAGCAAGTGTAGATCCTTGCCAGGAAGGGTGGCTGCAGATAGAGATACACAGGAAACGCATCACCAGTGTTCTGTAAAAAAACGTAATAGAAGAACTAGATACAATAAACTACCTTGTCAACGATGGAATCCTGGGTGTATGTGGTATCAGAAGATGGAAAATAAAAAGCACGCACCCCGAAAATTTGAAAAAAAGAGATGGAAGGCAAAGACCTTCAGTCATGAAGTTGTATTACACAGGGAAAAATAGCTCTTTCTATGTTTGTTTTTTTTAATAGAAAATGAGATGTGACAGCAGAGTTGTGTCTGCACAGAACTGAATTACTGAATGGGCATTGTGTTTCTTTTCTTCTTTTGGAGAGGTTATTAGGGGTTTTTTTATTATTTTTGCAAACACTAACTGTTGAGATAGCAGAACTTTCTTTTCACCAAACAGGGGACCGTGCAGGGCTGACCAATATTACTGTAATTACGATTAATCTCTCTCTTCTAAGGATTTCTTCAGGTTGTCAGCCTGAATGAAAAACAGATGGTCCTAAGGCTTTGGTTTTTAGTGACATGACTGGCTTTGGTAAAAGAATTGGAGATTTTTTGGCATCTGGTTGTGATGCCAACTTACAAGGCCAGCTCATCAGCACTGCATGACTGGCCTAACAAATGGAAAGCCATTGGTGCTAGAACAATTTACAGTAGCTGCAGATCTGAGCTCTAGTATGGTTCAGCTGATATTGCTCATCATTAGATTATGTTTAGGAAATGCAGTTTGTTCATTTGCTAGTAAGTCTGTACTATTGTAAACTTAAGTTTTGTCATAAGGAAAGATACTCCAAGCAGATCAGGTTCTCCGCTGGCGTGAATTAGCTAACCTGTGTTGACTTCTGTTTGGCCACACTGACTTTCATCCACTGAAGGCCATGCTTCTTACCATGAAGACTGATGCAGTTTTCTAGTAAAGCCACGTAAGATGTTTATCAGAATTGTGAAGCTGCAAACTTGATTCCTCTTTCATTGGTGTTTCAGGTGGTTAAGTGTCTTGGTTCAAAGACCTTAAAGAGGTAAAAAAAATCAGAAACTGTGTTTCCATATTACTTCCATAACAAAACCAGCAGCAGATTTGGAACAGGAGGGCGCTGTGTGAAACCCTACTTCCAGTGTAAAACAACTGCCAAAACCTTAGGTCAGATCTTTACTCAGTCCTGAACCAAATAATGGTTAAATTAGAAGTGATTCTTTACACTGTAAGCTTTTAATTCATGTAATGGAGAGGATTGAAGTGCAGCAACAATAAAATCCTGTTTTTTAAAGTTCTCTTTTTTTAAAAAGTTTCTGGCTTTAAACAGGCTTATGGCAGAACTTTTAAGTATTCAAAGCATATGTAATTCTTATGAAACTAAATTTATTGTTGACAGTATTTCACTGTACTATTCCAGGTTTTGAACATTTACTTTAGTAAATGTACACTGTCTACTCGTAGTATAAATACAATAGATGTGCCAGCTGGACAGTTTTACTGTTGCCCATCACTGAGGGTGGCATACATAAGTCTTGTGATACAGAAGTAATGAGACATTGTTAATTACAGTTTGTATTCTGGTAATACTGTTAGAATGTAACTTGGGGAGGGATTGGGTTTGACTTTCTGAGAACAAATGCTGTTTTGGGGAAGGGAAGGATTAAAATGTCTATTTTAAATACAGAAAAATATGGGTGTTCAAATAAACTTTGTTTCCTAATATACTACATCCATGTACATGCTAGTATTTTAACTTTTTTATTTACTTATTTTCATTTTGTTGTATGACGTGTGAGCATTTGTTTTTAATTTTGAGTACCTTGCAACAGATTGTATGTATCAAAAGCAGTCAGATCAAACTGTTGTATCCAGGGTTTGGTTCTGTTTTTTTTTTTTACTCTTTGATCTCGTACATGAAGAACAAATATAAATGAGCTTAAAGATTTTGGATGCATATTGGTTTCTTAAATTGTTTTGTGTGGGTTTTTTTGTTGTTTTGTTTTGTTTGGTTTTTTTTGAGGATTTTAGTATGAGCTTCCCAGGGAACTGTATAATGCTGCTTGGAGTAAAGGTACAGACATACTATTCTGTGCAAAAGGCATATATTTTGAATTAAATGATTAGCACTTAGCATATGAAATGGGTTATTTTACCATTATGTTTCAGTTTATTAGGAGTTGTTATGGCCATTAGTGATGATTACAGTTTTACTCATAATGCTTACAACATGCTCCCCAGTGCCACCATTTGTTTCTTTTAGTGGCACCTTGTAATTCGTAACTCACTAACAGAAGTGTTTTGTTACGATTTGTGTAGTACAGTTATCTCTAAGCAGGAAGAGTTAGCACCAAGTGCTTTTAAGTTCTATTTTGGGGACTTAAATAGTGCATCATTTTCAGTCTGATCCCTTACTCGGGAAGTTTCTTGAATTCTGCATTACGAAAATACCTGTCGTCTTTCCTAGGAGCAGGCCATGAAACCTAAACATCCTGGGCTTGTATGTGAATATCTCGTCTTCACTGTCATGGTACATGACGTGGGTGATTTAAGACCCGGTGCAACTGTTAATGTTAATACTCTTCCTTGAATCATTCCCTTACATAATTTATTCTAATTAGTTGTTGGAATGCTTCTAACAATAATCTGCGTTTACATAAAAGAGGTCTGGAACCTCCACCAAATGGGAACGCGAAGTGTACGAGCTCCTGACCCCGTTTTCAGAAATGTGTTAATTCATGGCGTATTTACTCAGGAATGTTAATCAAGTTTCTTTGGCAGAAACTCTGAAGGTGTGTTTCTTTGTAAAGGTCGTTCCGTTTGTTCCGAACGATGCCAGCTCCCATCTTGGCAGGTGCCCGTCTGTCCCTCCACGCTGGTCAGCCCGACGCGCGGCGCGTTGTTACCCACGGGCTGCAGCTTTCGGAGCCCGCGGCGTGCTGAAGACCCGCGCCGTGTCCGGGGAAGCCCGTCCGTGCTCTGGCGCTGCC